TTGGATCAACGGGATCTTCAAAACCTACACACATAATATTCCACATCTCTGGATGGACTCCAATAAGATAAGCCTTAATTATATGCTTCCACTTGGCAAAGTTGGTCCCATCAAATTGGGGTAACTTGCCCGCGGGTATGTTGATGTGAGTGTTAGTAGGTAAATTTATGGAATCATAATTAAAGGATACACTCGAATATGATCTCTTGGTGTTAGACTTGAGTGTCCTCTTTGGTAGCCTTTGAGCATAGTACTCATCATCATCTCCATTCTCCGACTCGCTGCTTGGTTGTGGACTTGATTGCACCATTCTTCTTGCTTTGTGTTTCTTCTCCTCTTTGTTCTTGTTCTTGTTCTTGTCCCTTTCCTTATCTCCCTTTGAGGATCCCTTAGCACCAAGCTTGAGCTTTGGAAGTCGCTTAAGCACTACTGTGGCATCATCCTCAGGAGCTTGGGGTTCCTCTTCACTAGGAACATCCTCAAAGCGGTCCTCTCCATCTTCCTCCGGTACACTTTCTCTAGGACTTGCCATTTCCTCACACGGTTAAGTGCTATCACGAGGAAACCTGCTTCGATACCAATTGAAAGGATCTAGCAAGTGGCCTATAGGGGGGTGAATAGGCTTTTTTCTGAAATTTAATCACCTTATGAAAAACAGTTAGAACGCGGAACCTCCGGATTTGAATGCGGAGGTTCTAGGATGTGGAGGTTCAGGGACGGAGCGTGGAACCTCTGGGGATCAGAGTATGAAATTGATCTACTGTGGAATTTAACGATTGAAAAAATAGATCGAATGTAATACCAGCCTTCCTGGGGAGTATGTTGAGCTAAGCAAACAGTCGATTGCACCTAGAAGATGAGGAATTCATAGATCAAATGCAAACCCTAAAAATCAATCCAAATCACAAGTAGTAGCAACAACAACAATCACAGTGAACACAAGGATTTATCCCGTGGTTGCACTCGCCACAAAGGCTTGTCTACATCCACGTTGTTGAGGTTAGCCACAAAGGTTATGGAGTCTCTTTCAACTCGCTCCTCATCTCCAACCTATCACCAAGGCAATGGGTTAGAGGGTTCCACTAAGTCACAAAGGGTAATACAAATTTTCCGGTGCTCAACCACAGTGGATTAGGAGTTATCGGGCGACCGCTAGCCATCTAGGAGCCAAGCTCCAAGAGTAACGAACACACCAAGCGGCTAGGGCTTCACCAAGTGCACAAGAACGGAGGAGAAGGATCTTCTCGGGCTTTCTCACACTCTCTAGAGCCAAATCCCTCAAGGAATCATAAAGATTTGAGCAAGGGAGTTGGGAGCACCAAGCTTGGGTGAGAGAGAGAGAGCTTCAGTTCGAGTCTGAGTGAATGACGAAGAAGATGACCGTTGGGGGCGAAGGGGTATGGTATAAATACCACCCACATCACCCACAAAATGGCCTGGTCAGACAGACCCCGGAGCCTCCACGTTTGAGCGCGGAGGTTCCACGTAGGCCAGAGCATATAAGAATTTAGCCCGGGTGGCCTTTTTGTGGCTGGGATTATTTGAGATGTAGATGGAGTTTTGAGCACTTGGTTCCACTCAGCACACCATTAGTATCCTCCTTGATAGTACGTGATGTAGACTAGGCCCGATATTTCGAAAGGTATGATAGCGTCGATTGGTGGAGACTCGACGTTCATGATCTAGGCTTTGAACCAAGACTGATTTAGACCCCCGCAACCATTACACCACTGCTCCGTTGGTTATCAACCACGCAAACGCGATTGACCTCATCGAGAAGGCTTTCTTACAAGCGAATCGAGAACACAAGTAAGAACGGGATGAACGCAATCTGAAATTGCAAATAAATATGAGGCTTATGAAAACAATAAGGAGTTCAAGTCTTTATTCGAAAGGACTAATCGTCACAGGCGAACAAGATCAAGAACTGGGGCCTGGTTCACAGCAAGCAGCCTTGGCGGCACAGTTGTAGCAAAACAATGTCTGTTTCACGAGAAAATCAAGATCTAAACAAAACCCCAAACCATAAGGAGAGTGACGGCTGCTAATTATAGAGTCTTGGGCATCACCCCCCTGGACACGCCCCCTAATGGGCCCAAACACGATATACGGTCCAACGGACCAAAAGACGGTGTCGCAACACCCTGGCAGATTCTGGACGCTGACTTGTTTTGACGATTCCCGTTGATTCTGAAGGTCTTTTGATGTGAGACCACTTGTATTGGCTTCCTTATCAAGTTAGCTTTCCAACCATATGTGGATCATCGAAAACGGAGTCCGGATGCATCATGGGTGACCAGTTTAAGGCAGACTGGTCCTGGACTCCGAGACGGGCTCGAACTTGAGTTGCTTTGGGCCTCCACCTCGGGGACTCGAACCGAATTAGCCTTGGACCTCCTTCTTGACTTGGACACCCTTGCTGGCCTCCTACCCCTCCATACCATGTGCCAAACATGGTCATATGCATGGGTGTCATGTCCTCATCGGTACGGCTTGTCCTATGACTCAATTTCAAAATATAAAATGAATTAAACTAGCTCTTGGAGCCATGGCAAGCCATCCATTCGAGTTGAGGGGTCTCCTCCTTTGTTTCTTTGCGTCCACGATTAAAGATATGCTGTCAAACACTTGTCAAAGTCATTAGTCCTTTAATTATGTGGTCAACATCACAAAAATCCACTTAGAGCTTGATTGCACTTACAGCGCCCCAACTGCCTCCTCGTTGCTTCAACCCGGCATCGCGCCGCCCTCCCCGCTGCCACGCTTGTTCCCCCGTGCCCTCCTCGCTGCTCCGACCCGGCATCGCGCCGCCTTCCCCGCCCACCTGCCGTGTCGCCACGCTTGCTCCCTTGCGCCCCCGACCGCTGGCTCCTTGAACTCAGGGTGGGAGCCGAGGACCACCGGCTGCCCTTTTTTCTGAGATCCGTCGCCTCCTTGAACTCAATGTGAGCGCCATCTTCTCCGCTCCTCACCCCAGGCCGCTGCCTCCAGTGAACACATGTCGACGAGCCTCTATTCTCCCAAGCAGCAAAGAGATGTTGTGCTGAAAGCGCATGTTACAAATGTATGATTCAAGTGTTTCAGATGTTTCAAAGGTATGCTGCAAGTATTTTTATATGGATGTTGCAAAGTAGATAGGGACGTTGCATATGTTGCAACGGTTGTACATGTGTGTTGCAAGCTTCTGTTCCCAATGTTTTATTTGTTTTTTCCAGACGTATGTTGCAAGTGTGTTTATTTGAATGTTGCATATGCTTTACAATATTTTTCAAGTGTTTTTCATGTGTTTTTGCAAGTGTTTTAGATGCATGTTTCAAGTGTTTCATCTGCCTTCTGACGTATGTTGCAAATGTTGTATCTAAATATTTCAAAAGTAGATCGGGTGTTGTATCTCCATCCTCGCTTTTTGTTGCCTCGCCCGGTGTCTCCTCCTTCCTTGGTGTTGGCTGTCATCCGCCGTCCCCTCTCCCTCTTATCGATGCCGGTGATGTTTGGAGAGCGCATAGGCCCGTGTGGACGCGCGAAACGGCACGGGAAACGACTGTAGGCGTGGACGTCCGAACACTAGCAAGCCCTATGCAAGTTCTATGCAAGTAATCAAACTGACCCTTTTCATCCGTTCGAGCAGTGGCTAGGAGGTGGCTTGTCGATGAGACGACCAACCCCTTTTGTTTTCCTCATCTTGCATCTCGATCACAGTTTAATGCTCCTCGTCGTTGGTTGGAATCTCGCTGTGTCTCAACCTCACTTCGGAATCGCTTGTTAGGCAAGACCACTGGCCAAGGAAAGCTTTGTCTACATCTGCTAAACATAAGGTTATTCTTCTAGAAAATCCAAAGTCCTTGTAGAGACCAAAGTACAGGCGAACCTAAACATTTCAGGTTAAGGTTTGTGCTTGAAGGAAAAGTCTCCTACTTCTAGTTCTGATGATGAAAGTAATTGTTGTTTAGTCTGAAGATTTGTCGCTGGCATATAGATACAGCTTGCAATCAGCATAATACATCAGACGAGATACTTAAGGAAAAAAAAAGGCAGATCCACGGACCGCATGACACGACTGCTTAACCACCTAGACAAACCAATCTATCTGGAACCGAATATATGCTCACACTGCCAGGACCAGAGGAGCTAGAGATACGGACAGAGGACTAGCAGCAACCTCTCTCTCTCGAAAAAAAAAAGAGCGACGTTTTTTACTTTCCGTCATGTTTGACTGTTTATCTTATTCAAATTTTTTGTGTAAATTATAAAATAAATAAATTATTATTAAAGTATCTTTAATTATAAAATAAATCTTAACAAAATAGATGATATTTATACAAAAAAAATTTAAATAAGATGGATGGTCAAACAAAATGTCTGAAAGTAAAAAACGATACTCTTTTTGGGACGGAGCGAGTAGAGTACATTAGCCATAGCCAATCATACAGAAAAGAAAGAAGAAGAAGAAAGCAATTTCTGGGTGTGCATAAGGCAGTATAACCTCCCCCTCAAAAAAAAAGGCAGTATAACCTGACATATATCTTCCCTGAAGAATAGCTTACTATGTTCCGTGACAAATTTCATTGAAGAACTTCAGTCGACTCTAACATTTCCTTAGAAACTCTCAGATGGGCAGTAGCTCAATCACCCGTATCTATATGGAATGACATAAGAAATTTTTTACAATGGTTGGGGGTAATTTCATTAGGAACGCATCCACTTTATGATAATCTGCTAGGGATGGAGAACAAAGGAGTTGCTCATCAACTTATAATAACACGACGAAAACTTTTGTTATTTCCATTCATCTGATCCCTATCTACACGCACGGAGCGAAACCTGAAATTCGTCTTAACCATATATAGCTGACAAACACTAGACAACTGGTTACAGTTGTAGACAAGAGAACCGAGCAAAAAATCAAACAACAAAAGTATGAAGCACATTGCGATGGGATGCAAGGGGCCCTTGTAATTTGGATTTGGCGCCCCACCCAGATTTCCTCCTCCTGGATCACATCACATGACGATCTCGGGCTTGAGGATGCTGGATTTGATCTCCTTGTGCGGGAGCACGACGCCGCCGTTGCTGTAGATCTCGTCGCAGACGTGCACGTCCTCCCCGAGGATGGTCATGTTCTCCACGCGCGCCCACTTGCCGACGGTGGAGTGCCAGCCGATGATACTGCTGGAGACGCAGGAGTGCTGCTTCACGCGCGCGCCGCGCATGACGGTGCAGCGGGACAGCCGCACCCCGGCCTCCACCACGCAGCCCGGCCCGACCGCGACGTCGGGCCCGATGAGGCAGCCCTCCCCGATGACCGCGGTCTCGTGCACCAGCACGTTGCCCAGGACGTGCGCGCCCGACGCGAGCCTGGCGGGCGCCTTCTTCCGCAGCGAGTCCAGGTACAGGCGCAGGCCCGTGATGTAGTCCCTCGGCTGCCCGATGTCCATCCAGAACCCCGGGAGCACCATGGCGAAGAGGGCCTCGTCCGCCGCGATGCGCGGGAACACCTCCTTCTCGATGGACGTCGGCTTCAGCTCGATGCGGTCCAGCACGGACGGGTTCAGCAGGTAGATGCCGGCGTTGATCTTGTTGCCCACGAACGCCTTGGGCTTCTCCACGAACCGCTCCACCTTGCCGGTCCCCTCCTCCATGACCACCACGCCGTACTTGGACGGCTCGTCCACCTTGGTCACCATGATCGTGGCCTCGCCACCGTGGGCCCTGTGGAACTCGATGAGCTCCGCGAACGGGTACTCGCTGATCACGTCGCTGTTGAGCACGAAGAAAGGGTCACCGGAGCCGTCCACGAGCTTGTCGCGGGCCAGGGCCAGCGGCCCAGCGGTCCCGAGGGGCTCCGTCTCCTGAGAGCAGGTGATCTTGATGCCAAGCTTGCTCTCGAAGTCCTTGAGAAAGTTGAGCATCACCTGTGCGCGGTTGTTTTACCAAAAGCATCGCCAGTCAGATAGATCTGAGCGTCCGACAAATGCACAAAGGTTCATCATGTGCGCTCCATGCTGATGGAGACAGAGACAGGGCTGTTACCTCAGGCTGGTAATTGATGGCCAGGACAACCTCCGTAACACCAACTTCCTTCAGAGCCTCGATCTGGGTATCACAGCATTCAGTAAATTCAGTCAGTTGAAGGGTTACTAAAAGTCTAGAAGAACCAAATACAGTATCAATTCAGCAACAGCAAGCAAGTGATCCTGCTTGTTTTCTGGTGACTTGGAAAATTCGAATCATATCAGAGACATCCATGTGTTTCTATTGCGATTATTTGTCACCAAGAAACACAGGAGCAGCAGTACATGCAGACGACTATTTCTGCGAGGAATCTATTCACATGGATCCACCTTATCAAAGCATGATTTGCAGCTTGTAACAACTCAGACTGGTCAACCATAGTCAATTCCTACAAATGGACTTCCCTGGTTCTCCCTGAGCTGTATCTAATGACTTGGTAAATAAAGAAGTGAAATTTGTCGCCGAGACGGAGCAATCGTGCTAACCTGATGCAGGATCATGGGCTTGTTGCCGAAATCCACCAGCGGCTTGGGCACGCTGAGCGTCAGCGGCCGCAGGCGGGTGCCGAAGCCTCCGACGAGAATGAGGGCCTTCATGGCTTCAGCAGTCCTCCCAACTCAGCTCCCCACCCTGTGAAAAATGCAACAGGATAACAGTGAGATCCTCCGATCCAGAAGCTGCGGCCACGGAGCGTACAGTTAGCAGTGAATAGCCACTGAACTCCAGGACAAGCCCTCTCCTCCTCCCTGCTCCCCCTGCCTACGCGGACGCCATGTGTGATGTGCCCCCGGAAAGAACCTACCCGGGTGGCAGTGGCATGGCCGCATGGAGCCTGCGGAAGCTGCAGGCATGGTTTTTTTGTGTGTGTGTGTGTGTGTGTGTGTGTGTATAGATAGATAGATAGAAAGTTAAACCAACGCGGCAGGCGGCAGCCCTGATTCGAAGGCCAGCACGCGGATAAGGACGACCTGACGTTCTAGACCCCTGGGATGGACTGCTTTATTATCGGGTAGGTGACGAGGAAGACGGCAAATGCAGCTAGAGGAGAGCAGATCGGCCGATCGGGGGTATCAGCAGAAGTGGAAGGAAATGGTAGGGGGCCGCGCGCGCACGAGGGCCTGAATGCGTGATCCATCTATAGCTCTGTCCGTATCCGGGCGCAATATGCTGCTGAAAACGCAGTTGTCCCTATGCTTGTACTCGTAAATTCTAGCGGCTGCTGCCTCCCCTCCCACCCGAAAACCAACCAAACAATTATAGATATCCGGCCACCGCAACAGCTGACTTTTTCTATTTTTGTCTCTGTGCATCTATTAATCAATCCCTAGTAGTATCTTTTTTTTTATGGGCGAAATGGTTACAGGCTGGATCCATGATGATGAGGAGGAGAGATGAGATAAGATGAGGTGATGGCATGCTCACCAACAGTAGTATAGTTCCAGAAAAGAAAAGGGAACAGGGCAGATGGGGAAGATGATAGGAAAGGAACGGAAGAAGTGAACAGTGGGGGTTGCTCTCGCTCATTGCAGATCTGTCCTGGCCTGGATGATCTTGTCTAGTTGTCTGCGGCTTCGTGAAATCTTTAGGCGTCTCCCTACCGACACAATCACACAATGACCACCGCGAACCATCACGGATGAGATTAAAGGTGTGAAAAGACATGGTGATCTGTCCCCAACCGACGGCGAATACAGGCACTGACGCAGAGAGGAAATGAGAGAACATAGCAGAAATCGTAACAGGCAGCAGCAGAGAATTCGCATGCCAGCGCACCTTCTCTGCAAAGCGCGGTGTACGCACCTTGAATCCTTGACGCGGCGGCGGCCGTCCCGAGACGACGAGAGAGGGGGAGGCGTTTCGGTCAACGGCGGCGGGAGCTGCAGCGAGGAAGAAGACAGGGACCGGGAGAAGGGAGGAGGAAAAGCGTCGGCTGCGACTCAAGATCGACGCGGCTGCCAACGACCGACGCCGCGCCTTTATACCGGTTATCCTCCCTCTCCCTTGAGCACTACTAACTTCATGCGGTTGACGCAGTTTAATGTACTGGCTTCGGCGCCAATTAATCATCGAACTTTCGTCTCCTCTCTTTTTGTATTTTTGCAGCAACGATTTGCTGGCCCGAGCTCGTCCCACGCCACCTACCCCGCTACCCGGAGACTAAACAACGGGCGCCCACCAGCTTACGCAGAGGCGTCAAGCGGGAGGATGACATGCGGGCCATATGCTGCTACCTCCGGCGGCACTGTACCACCTCTGAAGTTAGGCGCGTTCCCACCTCCGACGACGAGGACGCCGGCGACCTGGTGGTCTGGCATTACCGATTCCTCTCTCGCGCACGGTTTGGCACTGTGGCTCGTGCTTTACGTGGGCGCGCGGGCTCGATGGCCAATGGGCCCGCGGTCCGCCCTACCCGTCCTTCACGGCCGTGTTTATCGGCGGCACGCCACCTCGTCATTCGTCCAGGCACATCGCACGCCTGGTACGTGGGTCGCGCGCGTTCATCTTCGCGCCTGGCTTGTTTGTTGTTTCCTCTTTCTTTCTTTTCCTTTTTCTTCGTCTTGGAGGGAGAAAGACTTCATACGAGTTTAATTTCATTTAGACGGTCCTGAAATTGGGTAGGTACGAGTACAACAAAAGGCACGAATTGGTCAGGGATGGCCAAGGGCCGGACCAGTGCCTTATCATTTATTGATAATAGATTTTTCTTACACCAAACCCCGCCATTGATTTTTTTTTGTTAACTTATCATTCAAAAAAATATCATTTATTGGACGAACAAAGGCACGAATTGGTCACTGATGGCCAAGGGCCGGACCAGATCCTTGGTACTAACGAGATTTCCTAGCAGGTCAATGGACGGCGTCCGATTGTAGAAAGCATGATCCTTCCATTTTGCTACTGCTCACGCTGACTCGGCTCGGCCCGTTCGTGATACTGATACGGTGATACCTTCTCTTCATCAACTTTATAATAACTGCATTGGAAGCAATCCAGCGCGTGAGCTAGATAACTGAGCCGATTTAATTTTTTTTAATCCCATGGTTTGCAGTGCTTTGAATATTTCTGTATGTCTTCATTACGTACCACGTATCCGGAGCTTTGGTGGGAAAACAGAATGATCAACATAATCACACAATTGTGAATCTTTGGGTGGGAGACAAAAAAAAACTCAAAATAGGTATCATGGCCCAAATTTTACGTCTAGGCGAACACTGACCTGGGAAAGTTTATGATCATTCATTATACTCCTTCCGATCATAATTTAAATGTAAACTAGCCTTTTTGTTAGCATGGTCTTCAAAGTACAACTTTGAATAGTGATTTCTTGATAAATTATTTATTAAACATAGCAGAATTATACTTTTATGAAACTACATTCCAAGACAAATCTTTATGAATTTGGTCGAACATTCTGAAAGACAAATGAATTCTCCTGAGAGAGAAAATATCATTTTCAAGTCGAATATTCGAAATAGGGCCTATATCATTTTCTTTCAAATATCTAAACTCAACCTATAAACACTTATAAAGACTTATCTGTGATCAAAGATTGAAACTGTTGACTTAAACCACGAAATGCCACTTATTGGTTAAAAGTGTAATATTGAGTACAACATGACTAGCTGATTGGTCTAGTGAAGTGCTAGTAATTGCTTAGCTAAATATGAGTACTTTTTTCTTTATCATACCATTCTAGCTCCAGCCGATCAAAGTGTGTGCGGGTTGTTGTGAGCAAAGCCACTTAGGGCTTATTCGGTTTGGTGGGATTGGAGAGAGATGAAGAGGTTTAAATCCCTAATAGGTTAAAATTCTCTCTTAATCTCTCCTTCAATCCCTTCTAGATGAGAGATTAATCGAACAAGGCTTTAGAGGGGTTAGTTCATGGAAAAAATCCATTTATAATACTAATATGATATACCACTAGTACAAAAAAATCATGGTCTTTTCCTATATTTTGGTTTCTTTCTTCGATTTATCTAACTTAGACCATTAAGGTCTCTAAGTTTCACTTTTTTATTTTGGATTTCTCAATGGATTAGTACTCGTCTAATTCACGCTTTTTCCTATGATCCTCCTATTTAAATATATATATATATATATATATATTCTATATCTATATCGATATATTATCGAGAGCATAAGGCTTCTAATAATTAATGGAAGCCTTAGCCCAAACTGTAGCTATCCGTTACAGCCGAACCAGCAGCCCAGACTAGGCACACTATGTGGTCCCCACCTGTCAAAAAAAAAGAAAAATGCGTGGTTCCCTCCATTCCTCATCCTGTATCTCTCTCCATTCAACCCTCCTCTCTCTCCCCGTTCATTTTGAATTCGCCCTTTCTCTCTCCTCTGAGGATAGCCACGGCCACGAGCGGCGATGGCGGCGGCTCCTGGCACCTCGCCAGGCTCCCTCCTCCTCGACGTTATGGCGCGCCGGCGACACCTCATCCACGACGTGCTGCTGCGGCCTCGAGCGGCGCTCCTTCCCTGGCGGCGGCGCTCCATCCAGCTCGCGTGGGCAGCGACGAGCTCGGGCCAGCGGTGGTGCCGGCGAGATCCTGGGCAGTGGCGGCGGCCAGTGGCGGAGCTGGTGAATTTTGACGCCTAGGGCCACTATCTAAGTGAGTGAATCACCAGCACCGGTTTTACAGGCTTGCCGGCTTAAATACTCTATAGATAAGAAAAGCAACAAAGAAAATGCATAATCAACAAAAAATCTACAAAAAAACTGGATATAAAAGTAGTGAAGGATATACATGTGTTTCCATCTTTATGAATTCAGAGATCTGCAATGTACAGCATTGATTCATCCAATCTTAATAAAATATACAAACGGTGCCATCTACTATGTCAGATGCATACATGAACACACTAATGGAATTTTGGGTTGATCTAGATTGGGTGGATGGATGTTTACATTGGTTCGGAGGAGGGCACCACCTCTTGCTTTGGTCCGGCGACCACCATGCCCTGAGCAAGACGTGCATGCTATGGACACAGCCGCAGATGCCGCGGCTCAACCTCTTCTAGGCGCCACGGCTTCACCTCGCTCCGGCCTCCGGGAGAAATTTGTCGGCTGCGATGCCATCATGACAGACATTGCTAGTCATGCGCGCTAGGGGTTTGGACATTAGTGAGAGTCTGAGGCGCCTAGTGAGAGGCGGCGTCGCGAAGAAAAAGTGGCGCTAGGGAAAGGGCCGACGATCATGACGCTTGAGATGCCCCAGCGCGAGGCCGAAGCTGAAGCAAAACCGGGCCATGCGACCATGGGCTGCGAGCTTGGGCCAGGAGAATTTAAGAGGGACATAAGAGGTTTTCTGGGCCACGCCTAGGGCCGTGGCCCTAGCCCAATATCCGCCCCTGGCGGCAGCTTCAGCATCCCGGTGCCCCTTCCCTAGCCGCATGGTCCCGGACGTCGGCGCGGCCAGATGCGCGGGCATGGCGGGCCCTGGCTGCGGCGTGGCCCGACCCACAGGCACGGCATGCTCTACAGCGGCGCGGACCCGTTCCTCCAACCAACGGCGTCCGTGCCCCCAACAACTCCTTCACCTGGCAACCTCCCTCAACTCGAGCGGCGGCGGGGCCCTCCCCTCGG